AGCAAGGCGTTCAAAGAGGGTTCTTCCTAACCCTTTCCTCTCAGCTTCAACACTCTGGATTGTTGGAGGAAGCTGCAGATGGTCTCCAGCGAGGATACATCTTGAACCCTAAAACAAACAAAACTAATGATAAGTGGGGCTTGTTCAATTAAATTAATACCACTCTATAAACTAGGATGAAATGCATAATATTCAAGTTTCCTCCATTGGAGTTCAGTTAGTTTCAATTTTTCATTCTAAACTCGAAACAGAATGTGAGAATGCATATATGTAAGAGAATAGTTTCCACACCTAACCATGTTATTAAAAGAGGAAGAAAACTTATGTGACATGTGGTTGAGAATAATATTTGCACCCAGATCTTGAACAAGTGACTGTGTGCCTGTGATTGTGTTTGGCAGAAGTGATTTATAAGTATTTTCACTGCAGCATTACCTTTAGTAGTGCTATCCAGCATGCTATTTCAAGCGCCTGAGCAGCTTCATCAATAATAACCAAATTGAATGAACTATTCTCCAATTTGCGAGAAAATGCACCAGTCAAAGTTGCCAACACAACATCTGCACCCTTAATTACATCTGTCACAGCTAGCTGCTGCCTTTTCCGCTCTTCTTTGGAAAGATTCCTAAGCTCTTTCTGGATATCTCTCCTTGTATTTCTGTCTTTCGTTTTCAATAATTTCCCATTTAGTGCCTGAAGAAATGCAGTGAGGCATATTGAGGACCGAATTAGAAGTAAAATTATCTATTTCAGCAAAGATGAAATGATTCAATTCCAGAGAGCTTGATAGCTTTTTAATGAACTGTAAAAAATAGTTGGCTTTTAATATCAAAAGTATAAGTTAATAAGCGATTATTCTTTATAGAAATTCTTGCTAATGCTATTCTAGCTAAATGGCTCTAAGGCACAAAATACAAGTTTATAATGGAAATTCTAGGAACAACAGTTTGTGGCTGGAAATAAAAAGGCCAAGATGTTCAGATGTTGTATAAAAGTAACAGGACTATCAAAGACATTTTAAGAGGCCAAATATGATAAAAATAAAAAAAAATAAAGCTCAAACTATACCATCATTAATATTCAATTTCTTTTTCTTCTAGCAAGTTAAGGATTCAAATTTATAATAAAATTTTACCTTAATTTCCTTCCGGATGTCATTTGCAAGAGAGCTGTTATCCCCTCGGAGCACCTACAGAAAAAATACTAAATACATAAACCACAACCTCTGTGATATAAACGATAACAATTATGGAACATAAAAACACAAATGAAAATTTTTTAACTACTTTCAAAATGTCAAATTGTCAGAAAACAAAATAAATATTCATTCAGGCTACCATAAGAACAAGCAGAAGACATCAAAAGAAAGTTTTAGCACTTTATGAAGCAACATAACTGGATTACTATCTTTTGTGAGCAAACATAACTGA